TAATAATAGGTTATTTTAAACAAATGATTTAAATTTTGAAAGAATAAGATCATTTATTAAATTTTATTTTGATATTTGATAAATATGACAAATAAATATACTAATTTTTTGTTTAAAGAATTTTAAAATAATTATGGTATTTTAATACAGTTAATTTTTATAGTTATTTTGATGACATTCAAAAAATTATAAGATATTGTAAAACATATATATATGAATAACATTATCAACAAATATAATTATTAATTTTAAATTTCATTCATATATTTTAATTGTTGATTATAAAATAAATTTAAATGGTTTAATAATATATATAGCAGAAAAAGACATATAATATAAAATAATTTTATAATCATATATATATAAGGTTAAAAATATATATATAAAGAAACATGTTTCAACTTTATTGATATTGTTTTGTGTTTTTGATTTTGTATGAACAAAAATAAAAAAAATATACTAATTAAAATTCATAAATATATTTATTCAAAACTTTTTGATTTTTAACCTCTTTTTAAATATTGGGTGAAATATATATATATATATATATATATAAAATATATAATTATTTAAATATTTAAAATTATGATAAAAAAAAGTTAAGAATTTTTTCAAAATAAAACAAACAGAATTTTTCAATATTTTTTAATTAAAAAAATCCATATATTTTTAAATTATTTAATATAAATATATAAAAATTATATAAATTATATATATATATATATTTTGGAATATTTTATCGAAATGAAATATTTCCATATATTATTTTGGATAAATCAACGAAAAAAATTAATTGTAATTTTGAAAAGGTAAAAATTAAAAATTGAAAAAACAATATATTGAATTTGAAAATTTTTCAAGATAAAATGTACTATCAGTTCATTTTCAACTAAAGGGTTTTTCATTTTTCCATTGCATGCTGGTTAATATCTATTAAATAATAAGCTTATTATATATTATATAAAAATATAAATAAAAAATAAATATGTTTATATCATTTTTTATTTCAAAATGAATTGACCAAATAATTTTTATGGTTTAATATAAGCAAAAAATTTTTTTTGAAAACAAATTCAATATGGAAAAAATTTCAAATTGCTTTTAGATTTCATTATGACAAATATTATATTCAATAATTCAACTGAATTCATTATAATGCTGCAAAAACATTTTGAAAGTTCTATTTTATCCTTTGATTTGTCTCAATCCAATTTAACTTATTTGGGCAATTTTGCCTTTTTTTAATCATTATTTTAAATCAGTTGTGAGAATATCATTTAAAAAATAAATAAAAATTTTTTTCTTTGACACCAACAATTCTTAAAAATTAACAAAATAAATTTAATATAAATAAAAATTAAAAAAATTAAATATATCATATATTTATATATATAATATACAGGGTGTCCATAAAGTTCGTGTGCACTTTAAAAACGTTATAACTTTATTTGTATTTGCGATAGAAATAATCTGTAAAAAATGTTATAAAGTTTAATGTACCTAGTTTTAAGTATAGCTAAAATAACTAATGTGATTTCAGGCATTACTGTAAATCAGTTGGCAAATGTTTTCCGTGAACTGCAAAATCGTATTACCTTTTGTATTGCTAATGATGGAGGACATGTGGAAACTTAAATAAAATTTCAATAAAACCTTAAAAAATATAGATTTACTTCTTTCTAATATATTGTCTCAAAATATCTATAAAACCATACCTCTATTTTTTTTTCCTTCCAAGCATTGCTATAAACAACGGAACAAGAACGTTATAACTTACTATGCATGTGCGAGAGAGTTCAAGTTCAAGAATCTGTGTCAACCGCCTTCAATCTGCCTACCTGAGCGCCGTTATCATAGCAATAGTACCGATACTTTTTGATCAGACCTCGCATAAGAAAACATCTGAGTCAACATAAAATTGCCCTTTGTACCTGCAAAACCGGAATACGATGTACGATGTAATTTATTTTATTGAATGGTCTTTTGTTTGTTTTTTAGGCTTAAGCGTAAAACTTTAAGCTAACATTTAAACTAAATTTAGGATGCTTGTCTCCGTTGCTAGTTGCATAATTAAAAGAAAAAAAACTTGTAGTTAAAACGAATGATTTATTTTTATGGACATCTCTGCTCCCAAAGAAAAATATAATATGACAAAAAGAAAAAATAACAAACGACAGATGTTGATTCTTCTTCTCCTCCTCCTCCTACTCATCCTTTAACATGTCTTCTTCTTCTTCTTCTTCTTCTTCTTCTTCTTCTTCTTCTTCTTCTTTCTTTCTTTCTTTCTTCTTTTTCTTTTTCTTCTTTTTCTTTCTTCTTCTTTTTTTTTTCTTCTTCTTCTTCTTCTTCTTCAGAAAGTGTTTTTTTCTTTTTCTTTCTTTCTTTTTCTTTTTCTTTTTTCTTTTCTTTCTTCTTCTTTTTTTCCAGCTTCTTCTTCTTCTTCTTCAGCTTCTTCTTTTTTCTTCTTTTTCTTCTTTTTCTTCTTCTTCTTTTCTCCATTCACAGATATTTTTTCTTCTTCTTCTTGTTTTCTTTTCTTTCTTCTTTTTTTTTTCTTCTTTCTTCTTCTTTTTTTAAAAAAAAACTTTTTCAAAATTCTTCTTTTTTTTTTCTTTTTCTTCTTCTTCTTCTTCTTCTGCTTCTTCTTCTTCTTCTGTTATTCTTCTTCTCCTATTATTCTTCCCCATATTTCTTCTTCTTGTTCATTTTCTTCTTCTTGCTTCCTGCTTCTGTTCTTCTTTCTTTTCGTTAATCCATCTTTTTCCCTCTTTTTTTCTTTAAAATAACACAAGGCATCTGTTGCTTCTTCTTCTTCTTCTTCTTCTTCTTCTTCTTCTTCTTCTTCTCATCCTTTAACATGTCTTCTTCTTCTTCCTTTTTATTTATTTACTTGTTTTTTTCTTTCTTCTTCTAATAATTAAAAGAAAAAAAACATGTTGTTCCAACCAATGATTTATTTTTATGAAAAAAAAAAATGCCTGCAAGAAGATAGATGCAACTCAACTCCATCCTGTCTGGTCATCTCAACTCCAAAGAAAAATATGATAAAAAAAAAAAAAAAAAAGGCAATTTATAGAGTAAAAAACAAAATCCTTTTTTTTTCTTTAGCCTGAACTTGCTCTTACGTTGTAAACGTCATCAACTCGCTTTGTTTTTTTTGATTTAAATTTTCTGTTTCGAACTTTTTGCACTGTTTTTTACTCAAACTGAGAGAGTGACCAAGACTGTTTTGATTTTTTTCGAAATATTTTCCATAATTATAAATCAGTCGTCAGAACTACAATTTTTTTTTCTTTAATTAACAATTTGTTTTTAGAAATGTCTGATCATAGAAAGTTAAGTAACCCGAGCAATGTCAAAAATCTCATGTTGCTGTAACACCCCACCAAAAAAATTAAACCAAAAAAAAAAAAATGAGAAAAGTTTACCTATTTAGTAAATAACTACAATAAATGTACTGGTTAATGAGCCATATCATCAGTATCGATTATCTCATTATCTAATATTTGGCTAATGCTTTAAAACTAAATAACTTCTTAAAATAAAAAAAAAGATAATGATTGTAAGTCCATTTTTTAGAATTGGGACGATGTTAGTGGATTTAGTTGTTGAAGCGGACATTCTAGATTTATAAGAATTTAAATTATTTTCTATCGGAGTAGAGAACAGAAAGTCTTATTTGAACAAGTGTAGTGGCATACGAAAACATGGAAGTCCTGTAAAATAACTTTTATATCAGAATTGCATATGAAAAGTAAATTGGTATATTACCATCATTGCATTAAGGTTCCTATGTCAATTGGAATTGACACTAGCTTTTACAATATATATGGTATACTTATCGCTTATACACAGACACACATGAATTTTTACACACATACACATTTTACGCACACACATACGCACAAAGTCTACAAATGAGAGAGAGAGAGAGAGAGAAGCGGATTTAAAGACATTTGAAAAATATATATTGAAATACAAGTTAAACAGTAAAGAAAACAGACAGGGTACTAAATTAATGTTTTTATTCAATATATAGATTTAAACAAACTGAGGTAGATAGGATATTTGTTAAAACGTTTACAGAAACGAAAGAAAAGGGAAAACAGATAGATATGAGAGTCCATCATAGATAGATAGATATATGATAGATATGATCAAACTGAAATAGATAGATAGATAGATAGATAGATAGATATTTGGGATGGAGGGAGTTATAGAATATAAATAGATAGATAGATAGATAGATAGATAGATAATATAGATGAATAGATAGATAATGAGATAGATAGGATAGATAGATAGATGAAGAATAAATGATAATGATAGATAGGAAATGGAGGGAGGGGAGGGAGAGAATGAACAGATAGATAGATAGATAGAAATTGAGGATAGATAGATAGATAGAAGTTTTTAAAGGGATTTCAGGAGTAATGAACAGATAGATGATAGATAGATAGATAGATAGAAGATAGGAGGATTAAAAAGATAGAAAGGATAGATAGATAGATAGATAGATAGGGAGGGATGGAGGGAAGAGGAATGAACTTGAAAGATACTGGAATATCCAAATAGGATAGATAGATAGATGGGATAATAAAAAGGGATGGAGGGATGGAATAATGAAAATGATAGATAGATAGATAGATAAGATAGATAGATCGATAGATAGATAGGAGATGGATGGAGGGAGGGAGAGAATGAACAAATAGATAGATAGAAAAATAGATAGATAGATAGATAGATAGATAGATAGGGAGGGATGTTAGGGAGGGAAAGAATCATCAGTTCAATAGATAGATAGATCGGATGATAGATAGATAAACACATTAGTCAGATATCATAAAATGGTTAATTTGTTTGTGTCATTCTAAAAAATTAAAGAAAGAAAGAAAAAAAGAGAAATTCTTCAGAAAGAAATTTCTAGTGTGCGTTTAGGCTGATGCCGATATTTAAAAATTTCTGACTGCAAATTAGAAACGAACGAACCTGATTTTCATATGAGCGAACAAGTGAGCGAGGGAAAGAAAGAAAGGACGAACGAACCAACGAAAGAAAGAAAGAAAGAAAGAAAGAAAGAAAGAAAGAAAGAAAACTCTATAAAAAACTAAAAAAGTTTTTAGATAGATTGAAACAGATTCAAGCATCGATAATTCATCAAATATAATAACATTGATTTTCTAATTGCAAAGGATTTATCCATCATCACAAAAATTACATCTTTCACTCTGTTCATTATCTAAAAATTATCTATCTGTTTCTATTTACATCTGTCTATTCAAAGGAATCTATCTATCTCAATTACATTCATAAATCTATCCATATATATAAAATCTATCCATTATCTATTTACATCTATCTATCTATTAATCAAAAATACATACATCAAAATGCTCTATTAACATATAAAATCTCTCCATACATAGATTCTATGAAAATCTATTTACATCTATTCTATCTATCTATCTATTTACATCTATTTATAAAATATTTACATCATAATCTATCTATCTATCTATCCGTAAAATCTATCTATCTAAATATCTAAGAAAAAAAAATCTGATCTATATCTATTATTAATATTTATCTATCTATCTATCATTCTATCTATTTATCTATCTAAATATCTAAAACTATCTATCTATCTATCTATCTATGTTTTATCCATCCAATCTATGAATCTATCAACATCTATCCAAATCTTATCTGGTTTTCATCTTCTATTTATCCATCTATCTATCTATCTATCTCCATCTAATTTTTTTTTATCATCAATCTATCTATTATCTATCTATCATTTCGTTATGAAATGATCTATCTATCTATCTATGATTATCTATCTCTATTTAAATTGAAAATCTATCTATCTATCTATTCAAATTCCATTTAAATCTATCTATCTATCTATGTTTTCTATATAATCCATCAATCTATCTCACTCTTTTTTATCTATCTAATTATATCTATCTATCTATCTATCTCATTTTCTGTTTACACCTATTCATTATCTATCTATTAATCATCTGTCATTTATCTATCAATTATCTACCCCATTCTATCTATCATCTAGATTCATTCTATTTACATATCTGTCCGTTCATCTCAATCTATCTCACTCCATTTACATCAATATCATCCTATCTATCTATCTATTTATGATTTTATTTAATTCCATATATCTGTCTAATCTATCATAAATCTTTTCATTTATCATCTATCTATCATCTATCTATCTATCTATCTATCTTATGTCTGTCTGTTTATCTATCTATCTATCTCAGTCTATGAATCTATAAATCTATCTATCTATCTATCTATCTATCTATCTCACTCTGTTTACACCTATCTATCCATCTATCTGTCTATCCATCTATCTCACTCTATTTACACCTATCTATCTATCTATCTATCTATCTATCTATCTATCTATCTCACTCTATTTACATCTGTCTGTCTGTCTGTCTATCTATCAATCTATCTCACTCTATTTACATCTATCTATCCATCTATCTATCTATCTATCTCTATTCACATCTATTTATCTCTATTTACATCTATCTATCTATCTATCTCACTCTATTTACATCCGTCTGTCTGTCTGTTTATCTATCTATCTATCTCAATCTATCGATCTATCTATCTATCTATCTCTATTTACATCTATTTATCTCTATTTACATCTATCTATCTATCTATCTTGCTCTGTTTACACCTATCTATCTATCTATCTCTCTATCTCACTCTATTTACATCTATCTATCTATCTATCTATCTATCTATCTCTATTTACATTTGTCTGTCTGTCTATCTATCAATCTATCTCACTCTATTTACATCTATCTATCTATATCTATTCACATCTATTTATCTCTATTTACATCTATCTATCTATCTATCTATCTATCTATCTATCTATCTATCTATCTCACTATATTTACATCTGTCTGTCTGTCTGTTTATCTATCTATCTATCTCACTCTATCTATCTATCTATCTCTATTTACATCTATTTATCTCTATTTACATCTATCTATCTATCTATCTATCTATCTATCTATCTATCTATCTATCTATCTATCTCACTCTATTTACATCTATCTATCTATCTATCTATCTATCTATCTATCTTTACATCTGTCTGTCTTTCTATCAATCTATCTCACTCTATTTACATCTATCTATCTATCTATCTATCTATCTATCTATCTATCTATCTATCTATGTATCTCACTCTATTTACACCTATCTATCTATCTATCTATCTATCTATCTCACTCTATTTACATCTATCTATCTATCTATCTATCTATCTCACTCTATTTACATCTATCTATCTATCTATCGCAAAAGATTGCTCTTATTAATTGTAAACATCTATCATTCGTTTACCTGTTAGATTTTAGTTTTCGAGTTGAGTCCCTTGGTTTTGAAATAATGAAAATAATGTATGACTGATTAAAGATTCAATAACAATAGCTACTCCCGTGTTTTCTATCTATCTATCTATCTATCTATCTATCTATCTATCTATCTATCTAACTTTACCACTCATACAACTAATTCGCTTTGGTTGCACCCTCAGATGAGTCAGTTGATTATATTAATTGAAAAGGTTCTGCCGATATACCGTGCCGTATCAGTTGATCGCCTTTCCGATGCTTTGGATCTTGCAAGACTGTAAATAACCTCCAACCCAACCCTAATATTTTTCCGTTTTGCTTCCTGTCTCTCTCACCTCCGACCCACAGCGTGTCTCACCGGGTAGGTTGGGGGTGTCAGTGGCTTACGTTAATATAATGCCTTTTTCTGTAATTCCGTGGAGAGGTCTGGGAGTTGTTTGACGTGAAAGGGTGAAGCGGACAGACAGTAGAAAAAGGGGAACTGTGATATGCATGGTGGGGTCTGGACTAGGGTGCGTGTCGCTGAAACTGGCTGGTTGCTTGCATCGACCAGCCACTGAAGGTCACTCGACGCTTGTAGAAATAGACTGGGACGCTTACAGCAGAAAGGGGTAGAGAGTTCTGGCGTTATGGTGACCAGAGGTCAAGTCAGATATATGAAGGGCTCTCATCATTTGAGCAGTATTCCTATTTTCTCGATGTCTCCATAACTGAATTCCGTCCTGGGTATGACGATAAACTACGTCCGTGTCCTGGGTAAGACGATAAACTACGTCCAACAGCAAGGCCTCTGATCAGGAGGTTTTGAGAAACTTGGAACCAGCACTTAATTGCTGGTGTTCTCAGATTCACTATGACTGGTGGGGTCCCAGCTATGGGTAAATAGTCAACGCCCAAACTGGGGTCAAAACAACATAAAAGTGTAAAAAATAGGTTTTAATACAAGCGATACATTTTTGAAGAAAGAAATATTGCCAGCTATACAGTTTAAAAAAAAAATTTTTTTAAATATTACCAGCTATACATTTTTGAAAAAAATATTACCTGCTATACATTTGTTGAAAAAAATATTACCAGGAATAAAATTTTCGTCAGCATTAAATAACCCATTGTCATACCTGAACGTACCTATTCTATTATTAATAGACTCTCCCACTCATAATAAGTAGTAGTAGTAGTAGTAGCGGTCGCCAGTTGAGTTCAGTGGAGTTGAGTGAGTCAGTCGATGTCGACCATCACAACTAGATTGCTGCGTCGTTAACTAATTACTGCAAGTTCCTAACGTTTTGTACGTCGAACCTAATTTAGGACGACTTATTGAAATACAAGCCTCCACTGTGAAAACTACTCTACAACACCCATTGAGGTTGACATGCCGTAAAACAAACCAAACCAAATCAAACCAGCAATAAAACTCTTGTCGGCATTAAATAACACATTGGGGTTGATATGCCGAAAAAACCCCAATCTAAACCCATAACAGAATTGACCAAAACCTTCGTATAAATAACAATGTAGTCATCCACATACAAGCCTGTTTCGCTGTATCACAGCTCACCAGTGTGGATAGGCATTCGATTGCTTCAAGCCGGGATCGAAATCTGGCCGATTTGGGATTAGGCACAGATCTTACCCATAGATATCGAAAAAACGACAAAGAGAAATAGATATGCGGAAAAATTATTACGAACAATGAAAATTTTGTTGCCATTAAATAACTCATTGAGATTGATATGCCGTAAAACAAAATAAACCAAAACCAATCTAAACCAAAGAATACATATTCTATTTATAGCAGAATCTATCCTAAAATGTTGTCGGCATTAAATAACTCATTGAGATTGATATGATATAAACAAAATAAACCAAACCAATTCAAACCAAGCATACATATTCTATTGCATACGGATCTATCGTAAAACTGTTTTTATTATTAAATAACTCACTGAGGTTGATTTGGTCTGAATATTCCTGAAAAATTAAAAAAGAAAATGCAGACCCGGTTATGATTGCAGTCTGCGTCATTTGCAGGAGGGAATCATCGTTAGATCCGTTTTAGTTTAACCAACCAGTTCTAGAAGGACTAAGACAGAGAATTAAACTATATATCTGTTAGTGCGAAAGGTAAGAAAAACAATTCTTGGAGAAAAAAAATGAAGATAAAAAAACTAATTTAATAAGAATTGAGGTCGGCCCGATCGCTTAGTAAAAAGATTTTTCTATCAAAAAGTGCTGGATATTACATGAAAAAATGGAAATCCGTTTTAAACACTGTAGAAATACCGCGAACAATAACTATTTGATTTTTCAATGCACAACTCAGATATTGGTTTGTTAGTTCGGAATAAACATTTAAAAAAATTTATCGTATCAATCAGCCTAGGGCATTAAGTTTGTTAGGAAATGCACCAGCACTGGCAAAAAAATAAATGTCATTGATTAGTTCTTTTTCCGTTAAGACGTTTAAAGCAGTTTTGATGTTAATATACAACCGTCAATATTTTTGCCTTTTATCTAATGAAAGAATTTACTTTATGTCGCTATATAATGAAGTTCATTTTTATGTAAGTAACGATAAAAAGAACTTATTTTATGCAATTGGTTTTAAAAATTTCCTTCTTTGAAAACTCAATGCACTTAATTCAGAAGAACTTGAAAATATATATAGAATGGAACATTATTAGTGAATACATCAGGATCAGAATATATCTAATAACAAAAGTAGCAAATAAACGGAAAGAAGATCAGAGCAAAATTAAAGACCCCAGAACCATGCGCAGAAGATAGAATTCATGGTGGTCTTAGGAAAAAATACGAATTAATCATACTAAAGGAATTTAAATTTAAAAACAATTAACAAAAATCTGAGAAAGGAAAAAACTTGTTAATGCAAAAAGTCAGTCATCAGTTCTTTTGAGCGTTGTGTTAACATTAAATTATATCTGGATGAAAATCTTGGATAAAATGAAATAGGACAAAGAACTTCATTTGATGAAATGTAAAAACAGATTTAGTTAAAAAAAACAAAGCAATTTTTTTAAATAAAAAAGTTTTTTAATTGACACACAATCACGGCACATTAACTGTTCAAAAATCAGAAAGTGACATAACCTGTCACAATTTGTAACTTGTGCTGCCAAAAAAAAAAAAAAAAAGGTAGTTTGTTTTTCTGTTTTGACTAGAAATTTCGTGTTTAACTGCACCCAAAAAAATTTCACCGGGGGGTTAAAAATAGTGGGGTAATTCATTTGGCCATTTTCATAGAAATGGTCGCATAAGTCAGACTGGTCTGACTCAATTCATGTATAAAAGTTGAAAAGCTGAGTCCTGTCTTCCAGCAGCTGATTATTTGTTTAGGTCACCTCGGTCATTTTTAAAACCGTTATCGATTTGGACTTATTCGCCATGTATCTTAGATTCGTAAGTTTATAAACAGATTGTCTTTAATTTGGGAGCTGCCGTATTTATAATTCTTAAAGGTAAAGTCCTGACGCCTGCGATTAATTGATTGATTTTCTTCGTTGTTTATCATTTCCAAACACAAAAAATTGAAAATATTTAGATTGTGTGAGTATTTTTTTTAGATTACAATATTTACGGATGCAAATTTCTGATTAACCCATAGCTGGTGGAGGGGAGTTACATTTCATTCCAGACAAAGCAAATGGACGTGTATATCAATATAACGAACCGACTGTAAACAATTCGGCATGCGGGTTTCCAATAAAAAAATGTAAAACCACCGGCACAACAAAACTTAAATCACCTGGTATTTTCACACGCTCATCTATCTAATTACAGATCACACACACGCTGGTTACATGATATGGTGAGAACCAACGTTTGAACGTGATTTATACATGTTTCATTAAAGACGACAAAAAGGTACTGTGAAATATATATATATATATATATATATATATATATAAAATTCATCGCCGAGGTTTCGTGTTCATGCATGAAAATAGACTTTCGTTGCTTGGTGTTCTCAGTGCCCACTTTACATGAGAGTATCCATAAAATAATTGCTTAAACAAGATACTAGAAATTATATATATATATATATATATATATATATATATGTGTGTTTTAAAATTTATACCCTCGGGTTACAATGGAAACTTCCCCCCTTTTCAAATTAATTGAAAAAAACGAATAAATCCTTTTTTCCTTTCCGGGT